TTAAACGCGATAAAATCCGTAAAAATCAGTTTCATTTAAAATATAAATTATTAACAAAACATTAAACTTTAACAATTTAATCAACTTTTTTTTTAATAAGAGACAAGTTTACGGCCCATTGGAGGCTAATGCAGCGTAAGCACACCTGCTACCAAATTCAAATAAAGAAGGTCACATAGCAAATTATACTGGCTTTTTAGTCCACAGAGCTGAACCAAATAATGAGTGCATTGGTACATTTCGACATTATTTTGGGTTTATTCCTAAAAGACTTAAAAAGATAAAACTTATCAAAATTAGAAAGCAGACCAAAAATGTTACGGCCCACAGCTGCCCCTGCAAAGGTCGCCTTGGCTAGGGCCCATAGTAGCCTCTTCGACGGGCAGCCGTGGGTACGGGCCCAAATGGCCATATGGAAACTTGACCTATCATACTACAAAATAAGGAGAAGGCTAGGAAAATAAATGGTACGTACCTGGATCCGAATCTAAGACCGCCTTAAGACTCGGTCAGGCTGTAGGTAGAGTAGATGCATGTAAGTGGTGTTTAGTGGTGTGTATGTGGGTGACCTGGCCCAGCTGAGGTGACCTGGCAGCGCGACGGTTTCCATGCTGCCCCACAATACTGCATCACTCAAGCAGGTGTCCACAATGGACAGTTTCTTTCTTCATTGTCACTATTTCAGTCTATTAACTTTACTGTATATTTAACTAACTTCAACTCGACCAATTCAACGTTCATCGTAGAATCGAACACGTGACACCCAACACAGTAACGGACAGTAGTTCAAAGTTCAACATTCAATGTCCCGGATTCATTTATCACCAAATTACAAATAGGGAACTAACGCGATCTCTTCATGAGTCACACGGTTCAGCGTTACAAATACAACTAAGTTCCTTCGTTCGATATTAAACACTACGCCGCAATAAGAATTCAAAATTAACCTAGCTGACACGCAAATTAACTACAGAGTCAATACACAAAAGGTTCTTAACGCGACGGTATAATTAAACAATGATTTTCAGAACAATCACCAGGGAGACGCCCTCGAAAAAGGAATGCGCGGTTCGAATCCTAGACCGTATATCTACTCGGAGCGCGCGTGCGAAATTCCACGTCACCCGAGCAAGTTAAATATTGCAAAATGCACTTCTACACACAATCACTATATAATTTGCACAATTACTTTCAAAGAAGTTACTTTAATCAGTCAAACACAATACAAGCCTCTTGTCAATAACTTAAAACCTAGACAACCTAACCGAGGCGGTTTTCACAAAACCCCAATTACGTAGCGAAGTAACACGCACTAAATCTAGCATTCTAGACCGTACACCCGGTCGCGCGAAACTTCTGCAGCGATAACCGACATACGCGGATTAACCGCACCGCTGCCAGCGAGCTACCGTCACCTACTCTCTTCAGCTCGCGCGTTGAGCGACTATAAATTTCATCTATATGTCGTAGCCAATTAGCTTAATTAGCCTTTTAGTTAACAGTCTAGTAGCCTTTTTTACTTTTTAAAAGCGGCCTGAATCATATTCCGCCAATGCTTTTAAGCCGGCGGAATACGATTTTGAATTTCTATAACTTTTCTTGCCTAATTATGTGCTATATCTATATAAATAATTAAAATTGAAGTATCTGTTTGTAATGTCAAAATAACAGCTTTTAACTTCGCAGAAATGAAAGTATATACGGTACTTATAACAAAAACACAATTTTTAAAATGTTCGTCTGTGTCTGTTTGTTTGTTCCGGCTAATCTCCGAAATGGCTGGACCGATTTTGAAGGGACTGTCACTGGCCGATAGCTGATATTATAAGGAGTAACTTAAGCTACTTTAAATTTAGAAAAAGAATTAGGGTTCCACGCAAAAAAAATTAAAACCTTAAGTTACACGCGGGCGAAGTCCCCGCGACTTCTAGTTACTAACAGCTAGTTATATAAATATTTTTTTTTATAGGAGAGGGGGCAAACGAGCATGCGACTCACCTGATGGTAAGTGACTACCGCCGCCCATGAACAACTGCAACACCAGGCAGGGAATCGCAGATGCGTTGCCGGCCTTTTAAAAAGGAGTACGTTCTTTCCCTAAATCCCTAAAAAAATATAAGCGGCTTAGGGTGGTCCAAGAGCCACGCCAGCCGCACCTTAACTTACTGTCGCTGAAATTACAAGATAGTTGCGATGTTGTATTAAGGCGGCTCTTCACGTTGGCTAACATAGTGGCGAATGTGTTGGCAAAGATTTTGTGATCGAGTCCACACGTTGGTAGGTCGTTCAGTTTGCTTCGGTTCAGACCAATGTGTGGACGAATTTATTAAAATGATTATTGAGGCGCTAACTGCTGCTGAGGTTTATTTATTCACAGCATACCGCTACTATGTGAATGTGTATAAGAAAAGAGTGATCAAAAGGAAATGGAAAAGATAAATTTTATTTCTTGTAGTCCAGAAATAATTTTTGGCTTGGTAGAGCTATATAAAGCGAAAAGTTTTTTCATTGGTCATTGTTACTGGCATTTTGTAGACATCAGTTACGATGCGTGAATATAAAATTTAAATCAGGTGCGTGCGAATTCTCTGGGAGCTCGTAGCAAACTAAACGTGCGCCCAACATGTCCTCGCGGCGGTCAAAACTCTGCCACAACTCTTTGATCTTTTGTAAAAAACCGACACCACACAGACCTCGCGCTAACTTGTGGGCCATCATTCCAATGCATACCAAGTGAACACACGATTGGCCATCGTGAAGAGCCGCCTTTAGACACATCGACTGAATGCCATACTGGCCGCGCTAGTTGAACGGCGCCGTATATTAAAAAGGCTAGGCTGTTAACTGAAAGTCTAATTAAGCTAGTTGGTTGTGACGTATACATATAATGAAATTTGAACAATAAGTTCTGTCAATCGCTTTTTACTATATTGAATATAATATCCTCCCTAAATTTATTTAAAAATAAATATATTCTCAGTCGATATACGATTTTATTATGATACGTGTGGTTCGGGTATATATGACCTCTAAAAACGTCATGTAACAGTAAAGCATGTTCCAGACGGATGTAATCCAGCGTCATAACAGAGGTGAGCTTGCTTGTTGCCATCCATCTTGACGGCAGATGTAATCCAAATTTTTATTTGACCTTCGACGTCCTTGGAGGACGGGCCGCAGTTGGACGTGTGGATCACATCCGTGTAGCCGGCAATATACATCTTAACATCTAATTAAAGGCACTTGTGCTGCGGCAGGCAGCGGGTGCGCACCTTTGCGGCTGCAAAATGTCATCCACGGTTCCAATCCAAAAAGTTGTGAATATCATTCACGTCCAATAACTCTTCAGTTTGAATGGCTGAGTATTGACTATTGCTTTAACCAAAAAGAAAGTGGATGAAGGCATCCACTTTCTTTTCTTTCTTTGTTTTCCGTCTTCAATTGCGCACCAAACTGCTAAAGCAAGGCCCACCTTTTGAAATTTGGTCAAATTAGGAGCCATTTCTACAACTTAATTCTACGCGAGCGCGATTCATAGTGAAGCTCGACCATGACAGCGCTTGGTTGTGATCCGTGTAGCCGAAACATAATCCGCGAATGGAAATCAAGCTCCCACCAAGGTCACCTCTGTGAGGACACTGGATTACATCCATCTGCAACGTGCTTTAGTGAAAAAAGGAGTACCGCAAGGATTCCCATCAGGGCCTTTATTATTATTAGCTAAGAAAATTTTCATAGAAAAATTATGTCATCCTTAAATGTCCCATTTTACGGTATGACATATCTTAGATGGAATTCCAAATAACGTAAAATATTTAATTTCGTTACAAAGTAAACCTTTACCTCTCCAAAGTAAAAACTTAAGCAAACTTTTTTCAAATGAGTACGAACTCTGTACTCTCTAATAACTCGAGCACTTTTCACTGAAATATTAGCAGTAATGACTACTCTCGTTGGTCTAGTGATCGTAAACGCGATCACTGCTCATGAGGGCCCGGGTTCGAATCCCTGGTCAGGCCAACAATCGAGTTTTTCGGACACTCCCGAATTTCACTCCCGTGCCTAGGAAAGCACGTAAAGCCGTTGGTCCTGTGCCTGATCTCTATCCGATCGTGACGGATTACCGTCCTATCGGACTGTGAAAGTGAGGGAATACAGAGTGCACCTGTGCTAGCCAGAGGACATCTGGAGGAAATATTATTAACAACAATACTTTCAACTTTACACTATATTATCGTCTCCACTCAACCCAAATATCAAGTTAGCCAAAGTAAAACCAAAACTAGAAGAAGGACAGATACAAAAACACAAAGAACTACGATAACTAAAACATTAAGAAAAAAATAGCAAACACGCTTTGACAATAATTAGGAACACTTCGAAAAATCAACTTAAAAAAAAAAACAGTTAATGACTATGGTCATGTGTACGACATGTACACTGTACTGTCAACTGTCAAAATGGCGTCGATAAAGTAGCGCCCTTTTGACCTTTTATTATATTGATTCACTGATAAGGAGCTTTTTTTATAGTATAGGGTGACAAACGAGTACACAGTCCACCTGATGGTAAGTGGTTGCTGTGGCCCATAAACATCTACATTTATCCTCGTTTGCGAATCAAAATGCAGATGCGTTGTCACCCTTGAGGACTAAGATGGAATGCCACTTTTCCAGTAAAAAGTGTCTCCGGTTCTCTACACTCACCATGCGAAACACAGCGGCGTTAAACTGTTATTTGACGCTGGTATTCTGTGAGAGCGTGGTCCTTCCCCGGTCGAGCCGACCCATTCGTGCTACAACCATACTACTAATATAGCTGCAGCATGGCTCTACCACGTATAATAGCTGCAGCATGACTCTACCACGTATAAATCTAGCTATCATATCACAGAGCCATCTATGCGAACAAGGCTGTAGTTTTTGAGTTCAAAGAAAGTTACCACATTTAACGGATGAACAAATTATCCTCACGTACGCTAGTTAATTAAATATACTCACATCGCACTCCAATAAGCATCTTTTCAATTCCGGCTCGATAGAAATGGAAGGCTCGTCGGTAGTGTGCTCGATCTTCACAACGGGCACCCATCGCCAACAAGTAACCCGCCTCAAACACGTAACTGTCTTCCGTCTCTTTTACACGCCCCACATTAGACAGAGACGACGACACGAACCCCTCATATATCGACGACGTATCTGACGCACAGTCTGTCTCTCTCCCACGCCTCAATTTCGAAGACGCAACACTTCCAGCGCACATCGACGTATCGTCATCGTCCGTGTCTTTCCCACCCGTTAAGTTAGAAAGAGACGAAGCACCGACATCAAATAACGGGCTTTCGAACACGTAACTATTCTCCATCTCCTTCACACGCACAAGGTTAGACGGGGACGTAGAACTAAAGTCATCGCATGTCGAGTTTATCGATACTGTCTCCGAATCGGTTATGTTCCTCCTCATTGTGTGATAGTCTTCGAACCTCGAAGTATGGGAAGTAGACGGCGCGTCGAAGTTAATGAGATCGGGTAACACAGTCTTGGTCTTCACGCTTGGTTTGGTGTTCTCTATGGTTACTTTGCTCAATTCATCATAGAAATCACTATTGATACTGTCGATAGACGTGATCGATTCGAAGCTGTCCGCCTTTGATATTTTGTGTTGCGGCGATTCACGAATTTCAACGTTGGCTGCCTCGTATATTGGGATTTGGGATACATCTAACTCTTCATTGTTATCTGAGGTGGGGTTTGTGGTACCATCCGTAGCTTCTGGTGTTCTCGCTAAAATGCATTATTTTTAGAAATCATGTTAGTAAAACATGTGAAAAATGATAAATTTTGAAGTGATTTACAAAAGGAAATAATTTTTTTTTATACAGGCTGTTTGTGAAATGCTCCCGAAAATGAAGACAGACGATATTATTAACGATACCTTTGATGATGGTTCATAAAGAAAATCGATCCCGAGGAAAAAAATCATCTTTTCACAACGTTTTATTAGCTTTATTCACGCTCCATCACGTTAGTACAGGTAAATGAAACGATAATTTCATTAAAAAAAATCATGAAAATACTTAAACATAATACCAGCAGTGTAATTTAAATCAGCTGACTAAGGTCAATAACCGTGCGGACGCCGAATGCGCGCGGTCCGCAGCTAGCGATCGTACCAATACCTAATAACTTACAACATGCGTATGTATCGTTAGTACTATCGTCTGTCTTCGTTTTCGGGAGCGTTTCACTAACATCCGGTATAGAATAAAGGTGACAAACGGGCACACAGTCCACCTGATGACAAGTGGACATTGTGGTCCGTAGACATCTGTGTCTATCATCGAATAATAATAAAAATGAAGATGAGTTGTCACCAATAAGGACTAAGATGGAATGCCTCGTTTCCAGTAAAATGAGTCTCCAATTCTCTACACTCACCATACGAAACACAGCAACATTGAACTGCTATTTCACCCTGGTATTCTGTAAGATCGTGTGGTCCTTTCTCTGTCGAGTCGACCCATTCATATTACCACAATATAGCTGCAACAAGGCCTTACCACGTAACAATATTCCCACTCATCTATACACTGAAATGAACAATTTATTATTCCTAATATCCCCCAATTTGCTTAAAACTGACTGGTTAAGAGCTGTGGCTAAGAGTAAATTTTACAACACGCGAGCAACTTAATTCTCTGTATTGTCTATATATCTGCATTTAGATTCGAAATCGATAAAAGATGTAGTCAATGGGGCACGACACCAATTAGACTATGTAGCTGTTTGTCATCCTTATTCTAAACTAGCTGTTCTTCGCGACTTCGCTCGCGTGTTAGGGTTTTTATGTTTCTGCGCGGAACCCTGATTCTTTTTCTAAAATAAAAGTAGCCTATGTTACTCCTTATGAAATCAGCTATCTGCCAGTGAAAGTCCCGTCAAAATCGGTCAAGCCGTTTCGGAGATTACCCGGAACAAACAGACAGACGGACAGACAAAAATTTTAAAAATTGTATTTTAGTTATAGGTATCGTATTTACTTTCATATGCATTTAGTAAAAAACTGTAATTTTGACATTACAAACAGACACTTCAATTTTATTTATTTGTATAGACTAGTGTTCTCCGCGACTTCACTCGCGTGTTAGGGTTTTTATTTTTTTGCGCGGAACCCTAATTCTTTTTCAAAAATATAAGTAGCCTAAGTTACTCCTTATAACACGAGCTATCTACCAGTGAAAGTGCCGTCAAAATCGGTCCAGACGTTTCGGAGATTAGCCGGAACAAACAGACAGACAGACCGACAGACAGACAGACAGACAAAAATATTAAAAATTGTATTTTAGTTATAAGTACCGTATTTACTTTCGTATGCATTTAGTAAAAAGCTCTTATTTTGACATTACAAACAGACAGTTCAATTTTATTTATTTGTATAGATAAAAAAGATAAAATGTACTGGTAAAAGTATGTGAATAGCATAACGTAACACAGGCTTCCGGCGGACCGGAGGGGAGTAGTCATACACAAGTGTTTCCCTCTGTCAAAGTATAAATTCACGCGGTCCTTCCTATAGGTACAATAAAAGTAGTTGCAGCCACACTACTGACTAGACTAAATCTAACTGCGCGACTGAAACAACATTCTACACAAATGCCCAATTCTTCAGTTTTTTTTTTTTGCTGCAAAAATAAATCTGTCAAATTTACAAAAACATGGCGTTACCTTCTAGATTTTCAATCACGTACTTGTTATTTACATCTTTTTAAAGTCGAGACATTACACTAATAACGGTCGTGTTGTTTTGGAATTGGTTACCAACACAGGCCGCTCGCCCTCATACAATCGGTCGAGCGACTGATCCGAGTCTGTATCCGAGTTGCGAGTTGTGTGTATGTGTGAAATTGTTAGTTAATTGTTTTAAATGTTGTGTGAGTTTCGTAGTGACAGCCAATTGTTTTGTTTGGGCAGATTTCTCTCCGCAAAAAAGAATTCTGTATCGGGAGAAAACGCTATGGCTACTCATATGACATAAAAAAAAAACTGTGGTCTCAACCCGCTTGGCAAGCGTGGCAACGATGGCAAATACCCCATATAGCAATGACTTCGGCTCCTATCGCAAACGATTTAAATTGTTTTTATCACATTGTAAGTACACTATTAGTACAAGGTGTGATGACACAAAAATACCCTTTAAAGTTTTCACACTCACCACTATGAGTAGGGCTTTTGGTCTCATCGTCTGATGTCTGGTACTCCAGAGGCGGTGTTTCTTCTATGGGCAAGTGCAGTGATGACCTGATTGCATTAATTACCCCACCTCGTGGCATCGGTTCTGGGTAACCTGTCTGTAAGTTACACATAAATACTGTTACGTACGACATAAAAAAACACACATACGCACACGCACACACTCACACGCACCCGCACCATTACTAACTATATTTTTAGTATTTAATTTAATTCAAAATATACTTACTTGAAGAAAATTCACAAAGTCAGTACTAGTGAACAGCAAACGATGTTCAGCGATAAACTCTAGCAAGGTTTTGATTGATTTCGCCCTTTCTTCTATAACCTGAAAATAATAGATCCATATTAGAATCAAACTGAATCAAATGGTAGCTCAAATAGGAATTATAACAACAGAAGTATTCAGCTATCTGCCGCTAGATGGCGCTCATAATAGCAAGCGACAAGATTTCTTTTATTTTAACGTGGTAGGGTTATACTGCAGATATATTGTAGCTGTAACACGACCGGGTATGGACGCTCTTACCGAATACCAGCGGCAAAAACGCAGCTTAATGCTACTGTGTTTCGTAAGGTGAGTATAGAGAATTGGAGACCCTTTTTACTGGATACGAGCCATTCCATTGTAGTCCTCAGGGATGACAACGCATCCGCGTTTTGATTTGTAATTGAGGATAGATGTAGGTTTCTGTGGGCCACAGCATCCACTTACCATCAGGCGACCTGAGTATTTTATACAAAAAATGCTAAGTTTGTCCTATTTCGGTACAAAATATCAAGAAGAAGTTTTTTTTATAAAAAACAAAATGTTACCCCCACACTAGGATTTTCTCAGACCCGGACCAATTATATGTAGGCCATCAAACACTTGTTTCGTGTTTGATTCGAACTGGCAGTCCTAAGCGACACAACTCAATGCCAAGCCACTGCATCATGAAGCCGTCTTATAAGAGAATCTTTAATTTATTAAAAATATCCAGTTGTGCCTAAAAATGCTCATAATGTTTGATCATACATAACTAGGTGTTTCTCAATTTGAATTGGTTCTGAATCAAATTTTTAAAATCAGATTGGGAACGTCAGTTTGAATCGGAAGCCGAATAAAATTAAAAACATTCTCTGAAGTAAGAGTGCTGATTTGAAATTAATCATCATATTGCACAAACCCTATCTATGATTTTCAAATCCAGTATAATAATCAGCAAACAATTTGAGCACTTATAACGTTTATTGATTTGTTTGGATAACCTCCCCCTTCCTCATATGTCCCTCAAATGACACATTATCGTTTTTCGAGCATGCTCAAGTTGTTTGCCAGAAATTGTAACTATAACTTTGTAGGTACAGTGCAAATAATAAAAAAAAACTACGTAACACATCATTCAGAGTTACCTCCAACTGGAATCTCTTGAAGTAACTATTCTTTGGCAGAACAGGGAAGCTGCCTCGTAAGTGTAACCCGGAGTGGAGTGCTCGTATGGCGCGATGCAACCTCTGCACATCGCTGTACCTCTTCCATACGGATACTACTGTCACTGCCTCTGGAGACTCAATCGGGAATAGCTGGAATTAAATTACGACTTTAACTATTTTCAAAAGTCAAAATTGGAGTTAACAGTAGAGTAGAGTATACATGAAATAAAATTCACCACCCCATTTATTTCTTTGGGTAATGTAAAAGATGAATATAGAAAACTAGCGTTCCGCCCCGGCATCACAATCACACGGTTGATTTTTGCATCTCGACAACAACGCAACCTAACAGGTCAAATCTAAACCATTCTCTAATCAACTTAATCACAAACACATAGTTTCATTAAAATCGGTTCAGCCGTTTAGGAGTTCAGTCACATACACACAGACAGAAGAATTATATAATGTATAATATTCATGTATTATACATATAAACCTCCCTCTTGAACCATTCTGTCTTTTTAAAAAAACCGCGTCAAGGTGCGTTGCGTAGTTTAGAAGATATAAGTGTACAGATGGCGGGAAGCGATTTTGTTTTATACTATGTAGAAGATATGTAATTTAGCTGTTATTTTTTTATAGGATAGGTGACAAACGAGCACTTAGTCCACCTGGTGGTAAGTGGTTGCTGTGGCCCATAGACATCTACATTTATCTTCGTTTGCGAATCAAAATGCAGATGCATTGTCACCTGTGAGGACTAAGATGGAATGCCTCTTTTCCAGTAAAAAGGATCTCCAGTTCTCTACACTCACCATACGAAACAGCAGTGTTAAGCTGCTATTTTACGCTGGTATTCTGTGAGAGCGTGGTCCTTCCCTGGTCGAGCCAACCCATTCATGCTACAACTATACTACTAATATAGCTGCAGCACTCCTAGTTAATAATACACCATACATTACAAAACCTTTACATATACATTTAAATATCAAACCATCATAATTGGTGGCCTTCACTACAGCTGGAAATGGAATAAAACCCAGAGCCTGCAAGTTTTTTGCATTGTTCTAAATTAAGACAGTTTTAGAATCAAAATACTCTCGCTTTTAATGAGATTTGAGCTTAGTAGAGCATACAAATAACTTTCACTTTTTTATAAGTGAAAATTTGTAAAATTAAATTAATATTAATGCTTTTATAATATACATTCACTTTTCTAGTAGTTTTTTTGCTGCATCACAGAATCCTTCACCACATTTCTTGCCATTAGACATGTGTCAATTGTGAATGATTCATCTATTTTACCCGGGTCGCATCAAAGTATTGATGATTGCAAACAATAGACAGGACCTAAGACCAAAGAGTATTGTATTAGTATGTCCAACGACTGACATTATCGAGCAGGTCTCACAGATCACAGAGTACTGAACCTTGAAACAACCTATTTGAATGATTGACCCCGAATGACCCGGTTTGTAACACAAATCAATACTTGAATTATTGTGTCACTAAAAATGAATGAATGACACATATCTACTTCCCATTGTTAGAGACCACATATCTTACAGCCCTTGATAGATGGTGTCATCACCGTCTAAAGGATGATTTATGTAAAATACCTTTACCAGCAACATGGGGAAGAAGGGTTCTCAAGTAGTAGCCTCATACTAAGTAAGTGAAGTGTAGCGTATAGGCCTCTTCCAAGGAATGCCACAAAGGGCGGCCCTCCACTAAATGGAGTGACGAACTGGTAATACATGGGACAAGTTTTTTGTTTTCACCGACTGATGAAATTTTGTGTGTATGATTAAGTTGATTTGAGAAGGTTTTAGATCCACAATTGGACCGATAGGTGGTGCTGTTGTCGCAATACAGAAATCACACATGCAAAACCAGGGCGGATATACAAAAACAAAAATTTTAGATAAATGTATAAAGAAAAAATTACAACAGTAACTATTATTATATTAATTTGTGCCTATGACTTCAACAACTTATAAGCACACTTTACTCTAATTATTATAAGCCAGTGCTTGACTACTATCCCACCAGATGGTAAGTGGTGATGCAGTCAAAGATGGCATAGCCCACTGACTTAGCTTTTTTTTAGAGAAGACAAACAAGCACACAGTCCACTCCCAATAGTAAGTGGTTGTTGTGGCCCATAGACATCTACATCTATCTTTGTTTGTGAATTAAAGATGAGTTATCACCCGTGAGGACTAACATAGAATGCCTCTTATCTAGTAAAAAGGGTCTCCGGTTTTCTACATTCACCATATGAAACACAGCAGCATTAAGCTGCTATTTTATGCTGGTATTCTGTGAGAGTGTGGTCCTTCCCCGGTTGAGCAGACCCATTCGTGCTACAACTATACTATTAATATAGCTGCAGCATGGCTCTACCACATATGAAACTTAACAAAACTTAGCTTAACAAAAGTCTATTCACTCTAGCCTTTTAGACAGCCACATTATAATCAGCTGGAAAGACAGTTGCTAGCAAATCATTCCACTTTTATGCTGCATGCAATATGGACAAAGTAAACCTCTTAGTTCAAATGCATGATATATTGAGAACAAAGTGCTAGAGAGCAGCTGAGTTTCTGGTAGTCTGATGATATATTGGAAATGTTTAGTTTACGCGAAGCTGTTTTCCACAACTCCACTTCTAAGTGCGTGTTACGCATATGAGCAAGAATATTGTGATTATTCAAGCCATGAAATCTCTTCAAAGAAGTTTAGCATTATCTTTAATGGAAAGATAAGAATTAGGTATTTCAATTCCTGCGCACATTCCAAAATTTGTCTTGTAAGACACTGAAAGGCTGGCTACTTTGCAAGACTATTAAAATCTAACCAACCATATTGGTGCCGCCAATTAGCCTCTTAACACTTCTTTCCAGAGAGTAATTAGATAAAAAAGTAACAGCAATAACATTCCATTTTCATAATTGCATGATACATGGAATCACCATAGAACTCCACAGGCAGTATTCAAAGCTTGAGCACTCCATAAAAGACAAAATGTGACCAGTCCCACACATTTTGCCTTTGGTAATAAGAGTGCTCTCTGGTAATAAGAGAGCTGGTTCTTTTTCTTACCTAAAGGTTATCATATATTGCCTATCAGCGAGGAAACAGCCAGCGTATTTGGCACTATGCTACAGGGTGTAGGTCCTACTCAGTAGTTTACTTTTATATATATACAAATAAAATCAAAGTGTCTGTTTGTAATGTCAAAACAACAGCTTTTTACTAAATGCATATGAAAGTATATACGGTACCTATAACAAAAACACAATTTTTAAAATTGTTGTCTGTCTGTGTTTGTTCCGGCTAATCTCTAAAATGGCTGGACCGATTTCAACCGGACTTTCACTGAACAATAGCTGATGTTATAAGGAGTAACTCAGGTTACTTATATTTTAGGAAAAGAATTAGGGTTCCATGCAACATAATTAAAACCCTAAATTACATGTGTGCGAAGTCGCTGGGAACACCTAGACACAGAACATTATGACATATAATTTTAATTACTGTTTTGGTGTTTGTCAGCAAAAGTAGGTAAAAGTTTAGTAGTTAAGCAGTAAAGGATCTTACAACTTAGAAACTTACTAACAAAAAAGCAATTAGGTATTGCAGAATAATATAATTTAATATATATTATCTCCTTGCAGTGGAAGCATAAGAATACACACTACCCATATCACTCCATGGATGTTGTAAGAAGTGACAGAAAAAAAACAAAAGATGGGCAGAAGTGTCTTTGTGATAACAACTCTAATGATAATAAAAAAAACTGCAGTTGCCAACCCACCAGGCAAGCATGACACTAAGGCAAGAGTGTACTTTTATTGATTAAATACATATGTACATATATTAATAATATTGTGCAATTATTAGTCAGAATCAAGGTCAGACAAATTTTGAGCGAGAGAACAGGAGAGAGGTACATAAAACATTTTATTTAGGTTTTAAAATAAAAAAAAAACATCGTACTATTTATGTTAAGCAATTTCTATGATATAAATTATATTTACTTTTTTTACACATTTATTCGACATAGTGACAAAGAATACAATGCAGTCAATTTAGATTTTTCAGGAATTCAGTAAATTACATACCACAGAAGTAATTTTATAAATAGTAAATCCATTTTTATGTTTTGCTGTTTCGTCTACGGCAAACCGGCGAACCCACTTGTCTCTAGACGACATGTTGCAAAATTTAAGAGTTTATTATTTTATTCACGAAATACAGCAGCTATTTTTCATTACCCTGAAGTCAATGTAATAGAATAATAACATATTTTACGCTTTTTGATCATACAGAAGTAAAATTGAATACAAAAAAAATACAGTAAGTAAATAATTCTGTTCTGACGTATGAAATCGAGTGTTACCCAATGTAAAATTGAAAATAGCATGCTACTAGTGCTGCCAACAACTAAACTAGCTCTCCACCAGATTCAACTTCTAAAACCACCAGAAAACCACTAACAAAAGGCGATCCTACACTTATACTGATCCCTAAATTTTCCACCAAACAAATTTTTAAATATTACGAAATAAAAAAAATATGTACATTAGTTTATTAGTCATTGTTTACCTTAATTATTAACATACTTTAGTAAATCAACAAGTCAACATCAAGAATATATTATTTAACTAACTGTTACCCGCGACTTCGCTCGCGTGTTAGGGTTTTTGTGTTTTTGCGTGGAACCCTAATTCTTTTTCTAAAATAAAACTAGCCTAAGTTACTCCTTATAAAATCAGCCACCGAAAGCGACTGAAAGTCCCGTCAAAATCGGTCCAGCCGCTTCGGAGATTAGACAGAACAAACAGACAAACAGACAGATAAACAAAAATTTAAAAAATTGTATTTTAGTTATAAGTACCGTATTTGCTTTCATATGTATTTAGTAAAAAACTGTAATTGTGACATTACAAACAGACACTTCAATTTTATTTATTTGTATAGATTAACTTATTCAGTTGAATAATTATTGTCAGCACATATCATCATTGGTTTCGTACAATTGTAATGCTTCCTCTACACTACTTGCGAAGTAACTTCGACGAAGTGCTTGTCGAAGTCGATCGCAGTCCGAAGAACGTGATCACACACTCGTGCTATTTCGCGAAGAGCTCAGTCGTCTTGAGTATCCCGCACCCTTAACATGAATGACGTTCAAGAAGCTGCTGCTATAGGTGCCTCATTTTATGAACAGTACGACGTCAATGCGTTAACTAAATAAATAATTATGTAGAAAGTTACATATTTAATATTTATATATAAAAAAATATTCATAACTATCGTATGCCGAGTAGTGTAGTGAGACGCTTCGTATAACTTCGGGGTACTTCGTGAAGTCCTTTGACTCTGGTGCAAAAAACCGACAGCGATCAGAAGTCACCCCAGGCGAAGCGAGGTTGGATGAAGTGAATCGAAGTACCTCTCTACACTATTCGCCTCGTCCAACTTCGATCTACTTCGCGAGTAGTGTAGAGGAGGCATTTAACTTTAAGTTCAAGCTTTTCAATCGCTCCTGAACATCTTCGGCATTCTTCAGCTCCTGAAAGCCAGCCTAAACCCTTTCATTCATAATGTTCATTGCTAGCGTTTAAATAATGATTGCTGCTCCTTCAAGCTAATCTACTGTCTTCGTTACAGTGTTTGGCATGGCTGCGTTACTACAATCCTTTGCTTCACGGCACACTAGTACATTACTTGCCTTCTTCTTGACTTACCGCAGACTACAAGGAAACTCCTAGCGTAGATTACTTGCCTTCTTCTCGACTCACTACAGACTACAAGGCTTTCACGACAACTGGACTGCACCATCGACTGGGACTGAGATGATGTGGCGGTGCTTTCATCACGCTACAAGCGAAGCGAACCTAACCCTAAATCACGCTATCCAAGTTTCAGGAGCGTTAGCCGCTCCCTGAACTCACATTGCCGGGCGGGAGATCTCAATTTTCATTCTACGGCCAAACGTCTATATTTTACTCTTAAAATTCGGTATAATATTTTTTCACATTAGCAGATTACATAATTATAACAATTATATTTTTCTATAGCTTCTCTTATAAGAATAATATCGTCGCTGTGCCATCAACATTGTGTATTATATTTCTAATATAATATTAAGCCTGTGTATTAAACCCTATGAACCATTCAACTAGTTACTAAATAGATATATCTTTTTTGATAAAAATATTATGTTATATTCAGTTTTTATTTATTTGACTTGTCAAAACTGAATAAACCTGACTCGTTTTTCCTACTTAAAACTGGATTTTTTTTGTTTCTTAGGTTTTGCAGGTATTGCAGGTGCAGCAGTCGCAGCGAATTGTGTTATAATTTGCTTGAATACTATACATAATTCATTAAAAAGTATCTATATTAATAGAAATAGAAAATATATCTATATTTCTACACATTATGTTAATTTTTAAATAAAACTTCTAATTTTTATTAGGTAGTGATGATGATTATGTTCCAGATTAAGTACGCACGCTGCTACCTACTTACTCTAAATATAAAAATACATAGGATTTTTATTCTCCCAAAGGGTTAGCTGAAAGAGTACTCTCATTAGGGTTAAGCTCACCTTTGTACATCTTTTCTAAATAATATTTAAAATTGTTAATATCTTAAAGTGTGTACAATAAAAAAAACGCGTGATTGTCGTGGTACACTCGGTTGGAACGAAGTTTCTTTCGTAGTATATTATTATTGATAAACGTATTATATTATTGATTAACAAATACAAATAAATGAATTACTAGCGTCTATTAAAATGAAGCGTCATTGAAAATCAAATAATATTTCTTTCATGGCAAGATAAGAAAATGTACGAGGGAGATGGATATTATTTCATCTCGCATCCTTATAGCCGCCAAGGCCGTCTACACTACGTCAGAAAGGGGCGTGACGGAAAAATCTTATACTTTTTCTCGCCTAGCCTTCATCCGCCAAATTCGTACCGTCCGATAAGGAACTTCGTTCCAAAAATAAGGAAAAAGTGGCAATACATATTTTAATGCGTCAACATAATTATGCTCAAGATAAAGTATGGAGCATAGATTTCTGTATATATACTAGAGATAGATGCGCGACTCAAATTTATTTTCTTTAGTGTCGTGCTTTGCATAACAGACTGCGCTTACAAAAGAAGGAACTTGAAAAAATGGGAAAAAATAAACACATCTGCTGTCTTTAGATTTCGGGACCGACCGATTATCCACCTGAGCCATTATAACCTTGTGCGTTGTGGCGAAATTTACCTTCGTATTCTAATAATATTTTAGCAGTTTAACATTGTCTGAAAACACAGATAAAATGGCATTTTCTGAAAATAAATAATGTTCAATAAATATTAATAACAATTTAAGCGTAACCAGTGACCGCTACTAACTGCGTAGTGGGTGTGGATCACAGAATACTTTACTCCTAGCGGAGATTACTCCTAGCGGAGAAGAATGTTAACTCCATATAAAATGGATAGGAACAAAATTCAGCGCCATCTACCGTTGGAGCACATACAACAAATTTGAGCGGGAAAATTCGAATCGCAGAAATTAAATTTTTTTCATCGATCTGGTTTTTCCAAGATTTATTCTATTAAAAAATATGTTTCTATCATTAAACATTATTTCTATAAATTTATCTCTAGAATTATAATAATTAATTATTTTAGAAACATATTTCCTAATAGAATAAATCTTGGAAAAACCAGAATCGGTCACAGTTATGTATTTCTGACGAGGAATACAAGTTATAGTAAAATATAATTTATGCTTACAAATTCATTTATTCATAACAAAAGATATAGAAAAAAAAACAAATATAATTATCCTATTAAATTGTTTTAAATTCATTTAAGTTAGTATATTGGAATTACAGGTGTAGCGTAACTTAATATTTAATGAAACATGTTTAAATTATGCAAAATTCTTACAATATTCACACAGAAAATAACTACAATAATATGTAATCAATTTAAATAAAATATAAAATATGTCGACAATTTGAATTTTGTTTTAATAGAAAAATTGGCCTTTACATCTAAAAATGATTTATACAGCGTCAATAATTTTACAACAGCTATTGTAGACGCTGTAGTGCCTGGGACATCACGAATCCAAACTAATAAGTTTGGATTGCAAGTATAGTAAATCTTAATTTATGTTTACAAATTAATTTCTCCATAAAAAAAGATACGGAAAAAAAAATATAACTAAATTATACAAAAATGTTTTAAATTCAAAAAAGTTGGCATATTGGAATTACAGTTTACAAAACAATGTTTAAATTATGCAAACTTCTTGCAATTTTCACATAGAAAATAACTATAATAATATATACTCAATTTAAATATAAAAATGTCGACAATTTGAAACAGAAACATAAACTTGTTTATTCAATATAGATTATATATAATACTTATTGAAAATCACTCTTTTGTTTAATTACCACTGGTTCGAAAAAAAACCTCTGTCCTGGGAAGAACCAGCAAGAAACCCAGCGGGTTTTTTTAAATAGCTTACAATCGTGTATGTTACACAATTAACAACACAACAAATTAGAAATAGCTTGTAGCGATCACCTCATTCCCAGGGGTTATTATCATCCATAAATTCCTTAACTTTATAATAACCCTTTTTATACAAACTTAGTTTAATAAAGTTTTTGAACTTTGAGCAAGTCAAATTTTGTATATTTTCTGGAATTTTTTTGTAAAAGCGTATAATTCGCCCCAAGAATGAATTACTGACTCGGTGGAGTAGAGTAACTGGTACTATTAGCTTGTGTCTGTTCCTAGTATTTACAGAATGAATATCACTTAGGTTTGTAAAACTACTTTTATTTTTGTGTACGTACATTACATTTTCATAAATGTATTGAAAGGCCAAAATTAATATATTAATTTTCTTAAATATTTGTCGCAGCGACTCTTTAGGCTTTAAATTATAAATTGCTCTTATAGCCATCTTCTGTAAAACAAATATAATTTCAGTGTCAGCTGTGTGTCCCCACAGCAAAATACCATACGACATTATGCTATGGAAATAGCTAAAGTAAACTAGTCTAGCTGTTTCAACACTGGTTAGACCTCAATAATAATAATAATAATAAGGTTAGAAATAACCTCAATAAATTATTTAATGTGCTAGGTGATGGAAGGCACCACATCCTTCTTAATAAT